GGCCTCCGCTCCCAACTACCACACCGTCCGCCGAGTGCACCCAGCCGAACAAGAAACGCAAGGACGTGTGTTCTGCGCGAGAGGCGGCGTCGCTGAGCGGGACGAAGTCCCCATCTTCGCGCTCGGTGGACTGCGGGAACCCGGCCTTTGTGAAAGTGGCGTTTCCCCCCAAGCCTTCGTTCTTGCACTGGGACTATGAGCCTTGCCGTTTCCTACAGGGCTTCATCCCTCCACCGGACCGGATCGAGATCTGTTCGGCCGCCACGGAGGACCTCACATCCACACTCATGCTCGAACTGGGCTCGGTAAGTGTTCTTCATTCTAGCCCGGGTGCTTTTCCTGCCCAATACTTCGATAGATTCTAACAAATTTCACCATTGTTGTAGGCGGCCATGCGCGTACCGGAGCTGGTGGAGCGCTTGGAGTGGTACGTGACGACGGATATGGTCAAGGGCAAAGAGGAGCTTCAAAGGCTACAGGGGCACGTGGCCGACCTAGAGGGGAAGCTCGTCGAGGCGGAGGAGCGGGCTCGGGCTTCGGAGCAGGCTCGTATCGCTGCTGAGGAGAAGGCACGCCGCCTCGAGGAGGAAAGCGAGCACGCGATCGAGGCCTTCCAGACCTCCCCCGCGTTCGAGGAGGCGGCTCTCTCCCGCATGGACGATCTCTTGAAGATCTGGGCTCAAACTCATGATGGCAAGCGCCTTCTCATTAAAGAGGGGCAGGCCAACTACTCCTTGGGCTTGCACCGGGCTCAAGAAGTCTTGCTAGAGCGGATCAGAGATGGAAAGGAACTCCCAAAGCCGTGCGAGAACCCTGAGGAGTTTGACTCCTCTATTTACTACTCCAAGGATGAGGACGCCGCTGGCGGGGGTGAGGACACCGCCGGTAACTGAACGCGGCTGGGCCCATTGCTGAACTCCTCCCTTCTTCTTTTTCAATGTAATGTTTTCATGTTTGAACGATGTGCTTTGTATTGCGCGACTACTATCTCTGATCCTTCATGATTTGTGATGCCTTTGTTGTTTCGCTTTGATCCTTAAATGCTTATTCCCGAGTGAATGTTGGTGAATAAATGTCGGTTTTGCCGAAACGTTTGGGCTCGCCTTAGCGAGGCCGTGCTCAGGATCGTGCCAGTGAGGCCGTGCTCTGGCCCGTACCAGCCACCCCTGTCCCCGTGCCTTTACCCGCCGGTCCAATCAGTCCCACCTCGGGACTTGGTGCCTTTTGCTTGACCCTTGCGCTTCATCTGGCCGGCTCATTACTCGAGGCGACCTCAGGGCACGGTGCGTTTTACTGACCACCGTAATCAACCATCCCTGCTTCAGGGATGAATAAAGTAAGGCGTTCGCGCCGTGTACTCGCCCCTTTTTCAGGGATGAATAAAGTTTGAACTTGATCTTAAGTCTCGTTCTTAGTCATTAGTTTCGAGCACGAGTGTTTGGCCTCCATCCGGGAAAAACATCCGGGTATGGTCTGCGCTCGGCCTTCCTTCTGAGGAGGAGCGTCGAGCGCGAGTGCTTGAGACCTTCATCCAGGTACGATCTGCGCTCGGCCTTCCTTCCAAGGAGGAGCGCCGAGCGCGAGTGTTTGAGACCTTCATCCGGGTAAAACAACCGGGTATGGTCTACGCTCGGCCTTCCTTCCGAGGAGGAGCGCCGAGCGCGAGTGTTTGAGACCTTCATCTGGGAAAAACATCCGGGTATGGTCTGCGCTCGGCCTTCCCTCCGAGGAGGAGCTCCGAGCGCGAGTGTTTGACCTTCCTCCGGGAAACACATCCGAGTATGGTCTATGCTCGGCCTTCCTTTCGAGGAGGAGCGCCGAGCGCGAGTGACCTTCATCCGGGAAAGACATCCATGAATGGTCTTAGCAGGCTCTGTTCACAAAAAACATCATTTCATTGAGTTCAATAAAAGGGTTTACGGGTTCCCTTTTGGGGCCCGTGTACATCAGAATTCTACTGATAAAACTTAACCAAGTTCTCGGCGTTCCATGTCCTGAGCACGTCCCCTCCGCTCGGCGTCTGCAGGCGGAACGTCGAAGGGCCCACCACTTCTTTGATGATGTACGGGCATTCGTAATTTTGGCAAACTTTCCACGTTCTAGGGGGCGGCTCATCGTCCTTTTGCACAGCACCCAATCTCCTTCGATGAGTCCACGCGCGTGCACGCGCCCGTCATGGTAGCTCTTCACTTTCCTTCGATAATTCTCTGCCCGTATGAAGGCCGCTTCTCATCTTTCATGCACGAGGTGGAGCTCGGCTGCCAGGGCTTCCTCATTGCGCTCGGGGTCAAAGACCTCCTCCCGGTGGGTTGCGATGGAGATCTCTGCGGGTGCCCTTGCCTCGAATCCGTAGCATAGGGCGAAGGGAGTTTCCCCGGTTGCCCTTC